GAGTCCAGCGACATAGCCATTACGCTAACTGCTGGTTCCCACGTTTGTTGCTCTTCATTGCTACCAGCAATGAAGTCACCATCATTTCCAACATGGATTATAGTTAGCTTTTCTTAATTCTTCTTCATCTCCACATTACACCCAACATATTTTTGTAAAAACACAAATCTAATAAGGTCATTCACTGGCTTAATCCCAGTCATGGCCACCATGTTCAGGATAAAAGCAAATTCTTCTTTTTTAACAGAGATTTTTGCTATAGGGCACAAGCATTCACCGGAGGGACAGAGAGACAGAAAGCAAAAAATCACCCCCTGGGGGATGGCCACATGGCAATCACCTCTTCTCTGTTCTCCCCTTGGGATCTTGGACACACACTCACACGTGCCTGTCATGAGTTTCAAGCTGCTGGATCTGGGACTTGAACCACAGTCACTCACGTGAGAGTCCAGCAACACAACCATTGTACCATCTGCTGGTCTCAAAGCCAAATTCTTCACATGGTCCCTTAATTTCTGTCCATTAACCTCTTCACCATTACCTTTCCTTTCCATCTCTCGCCCAAATCATGCTAGCAACACCAACAGTATTTGGTATCCCCTTATAGTGTGTTAAACAGTGTCTCCCCAAAATTCATATCTACCCAGAATCTCACATTGTGACTTTATTTGGAAATAAGGTCAATGATGATGTACTTAGTTCAAGACCTTGAGATAATACCATTCTGGATTTCAAATAGGCTTCAAATCCATTAACTAGTATATCTGTAAGTAGAGGAAAAGGTACAGAAATACACAAAGAAGAAAGACTTGTGAAGATGGGAACAGAAATTGGAGTCAAATGAATTTTTTATGACAGTACATCATGAAACAACATTGAGACCTGATCAACATTGTAATTGAATCTGTGTTCATATTACTGGCAAAATCTTTACTTGAAATGCTATTGCCTTTAGAGTCCAATGACTTCCAAATGGCACTTCTAAACAAGGGTGCTAGCAGACATCTATTGTTTTTTCTTGCCTCACACATCCACTCCCCATTCTGGTCACAAAACATTGAAGTTTCTTTTGGGAACCTACACATCCAAGTGCAGGAAGTCCACTTGAATCAACTGCCATGGTTCCTGGCAGAGGGCAAATGACCCAATGATATGGGCTCTATTTGTGACTGTGGGAAGGATAATATTAAAACATAGTATGGGTCAAGAATTAGCTCTATTACAGTGCTCTTCAGTTTTTCTCAACTTCCTGTTTACTACATCCCTGGAACAGTTTAGCTGCTGTCTCTTCTGGAACGATTTCACCTCATTACCGTCTTCTTCTGTAATATAGCCCATATCTTCCAGCAAAATGTTGAATACATAAGCAGTGTTTAAAGCTGCTAAGTTTTATTATATGGCAATGGAAGACTAATATGGAGCTTACAAAAATGTCTAGAGTAGTCAGTCATAATTAAGACAACTGAGTCCCTGGGACCAGCAGTTAGCGTAATGGCTATGTCGCTGGATTCCTACGTAGTCGACCGCGGTTCGAGTCCCGGACCCAGTGACTTAAGCATATCCAAGATTCTGAGAGAACGGAGAAGAAGGGATTGCGACGTGGCCATCCCCCCTGGGGGGTAATTTCCCGCTTTCTTTCTCTCTGTTTCTCTCTGTCTGTTGGCGAGCGCACGTGCCCTATAGCAAAAAACCTCTCAAAAAAAAAAAAAAAAGACAATTGAGTCCCTAAAATGAATTTAATTCTACATACGATCAATATTTACACAATATGCACCATAAAATAAATGTTACAATCAACTTTATTTAGAATTAAAATATATCTGTAAATCTGTAATTATAACCTTGATAACCTGGTCCTCAAAAATTTTATAGTCTCAAGGGATGATAGACAAGCTCCCAAGGTGTGTTACAAAAAATGTATATGATGTTAAAGTACAGAGTCCATAAAAAAAGGATTTGATTATGAGACATAGAAATGGATTATTATCTGTTGATGATAATATGTATAGTATCACTGACTGGACTGGTGTGAAGTGTATTCATGTGGGGAAAATTTACTTTACAAGCTAAGTGATGTGTAGTGATTGAATGTATAAAAGAAATTAAAGTAAAATAAAATAAAATAAAATAAAAACAGCCAAAAAGAAGGACCTGAACTGAGTTCCAAAAGTATAGAAAAGACTTTCTGGAGAAGTTTAATTCTGAACTTCCCACAAATTCACCTATTGATAGTTATGTATTAACAAAATTCCTTTCCCTTTCAACAGTACAATATATAAGGTACCTCCAAATGGATGAGTACACTTTTTTATCCATTACATTATGATTTCTATAATAAATTTTTCTAAGCTTTTACACAAGAACATTTATCTACTTTTGTGACTATTGGTAAGTCTAAGGCTCTCTCTCTCTCTCTATATATATATAGATAGATAGATAGATATAGATAGATAGAGAAGTTATGAATCAATTTAGGTTTTTAATTCAAATCTGATACAATGTTTCATTTGTTCTAAGTGTTTTTACTCTTATTATCCTTACTTTGATTTTAAGCACACAAATAATTTTTAATAATAAGCCAAAGAATTCTAAAATATATAAAATATTGCAATGAAATTTAACACATAACCAAAGGTATGAGCAAAACACAATTGAAGAGAAAAAAAAAACCTTCAGTGTCTAAAACCAAACTAATTTTACCAACCCAAAAGCCCCACTTTTGCTCTATTCTTGTTTTTTGTCAACAACATGTCCCTCTTAGTTAAGCCGAAAGACCCTTCCCTTAACCTCCCACTGTTTTTACCACAGCCACCAAATTTCATCTATCCACACTTTTTTCAGTTCTTTATTTTTAATTGACATGTATTAAATTGTACATATTTCAATACAAATATACAATGTGTAATGATCAGCTCAGAGTAGTAAGCATATCCATCATCTAAAACATTCATTGTTTCCTTGTGTTGGGAACATTCAAAATACTGTTAAGGTTTTTTTTTTTTTTAATTTACATTCTTTTACCCTATACAAAGCTTTTATCATTTCTTATTTGAAATCTTAAAAAAATTTAGATACATTGCTTCTTGAATATTCTTAATCAGACTTGAGGTCTTTAAGAAAACCTCATATATTAATAACCCAGTGCCTGCATCCCAACATAATTATTCATTAGTCTTTCTTTGAATATGATTCCACTGTTGCATTGTCATGTGTACTATATATTCATTCCCTTGTCATGCATGCTTTATCACTGCACTCTAAACTCAAAGGTAAGGATCACATATTTTTCATTTGTTTGTTCGTTCAGGCATTAGCTTAGTGCCTGGCAAATAGAAGTATTCAGCAAAAGTTCTTGGTATCTACCCAAAGGAAAGAAGAATTCTTCATTGGAAAAGTGCTTGCACATTGATGTTTATTGCGGCATTATTCACAATTGCTAAGACATGGAACTAACCCTAATGCCCATTATCAGATGAATGGATTGAAAAACTGTGGCACATATACCCTATGGAATACTATTCACCTGTAAAAATTAACAAGACCCTGGCTTTTGACAGAAAGTGGATGAATATGGAAGATTTACTGCTGAGTGAAGCAAGCCAAGCTATGAAGGAGAGTCCCCTTAATATATATTGAGTGTCTGCACTCTATGACTGAAACTGATTGACTAAAGGATATAGAAACGCAGTAAATGGTTGTGAATATCACATATAGTGTTTGTGAAGGAGCAGAGTCTGAGGAAGGACATTTTGAAGAAAAATAGAAAGGCAAAGCATTAATAAGACAAAGAAATGTGGTATTATCTGTTGAAGATAATTTTATAGTATTATCAACTGGACTAGGGAGAAACGTACACATGTTGGAATATTCACTTTGCAAGCTAAATAATGTGGTTGAATGTATAAAAGAACAAGAAATTAAAAATAAATAGATAAATAAATAAAATAAACAGGAAATAGTACAAATTATTCTGTCCTCCTTTGAGCTGCTCTCTCTTCTTTAGTCTAACACACATAACACTTCAAGATTAAGCTTCTTAAAGAATAGCATGCATCATCTGGATCCTCTATAATTAATTTTCTCCATATAATGATTAAACGCAAATGCTTAAATACAGTAGTCCAAATCACAGAACATGTTGCCCACCACTCTGCTATATCTACCTTGTCTTTCCAATTTCCAGAACATCTTACCCTGTGCTTACATAGCTTGTTCCTTTGCTCCAAGTTGACTCTTTAAATGTTCGCCAACCAAAGTCCTACCAACCCTGAAGTACACAACTCTATTGGTCTCTATTGAGTAGGGGAAGCTACTGTTTGCAATAAATATCTAGATCCTTAATTTTGAATGCTTCCTTCAACCCAAATTAGGTTATGTTAGCAATATTCTTTGAATAAAATATTAGTCAGTGATCCAACAAACATTTACAAAATTGGCCAATAAAATCTTTAATTCATTACCACCTTCTGGGTTTACCAACTCAGCAATAAGAATAAAAAATCTTTTAAAACATCATAGTCAGCGAGTCAGTGTTGCTAATGCAAAATAAGTGATGTATATAGAACAATGTATACATAAGCATATTATGTGAATAATAACTACACACAACCTAAAAGTTACTTTAAATAATCTGTCATGTTAATAAATAGGAAATAAGAAACATTAATTTATCTTCTTAAAAAACAGAAAAAAGATCTGTTATGTTAGTAAATAATAAAATCAACAGAAACACAAAATATTATCATAACTTTCCTTAAATTAAAAAATTACAAACAAAAAATTGTATAGAAAATGACATAACTTCAAGAAAAAAGAAGAAATTATAATTTTCAGAAAATAAGCTTTTACTGTTGTTTTAAATTTTATTTAAATTTTATGAATTTTACTATTTTATATAAAATTAAAATAAAATAAATTTAAAATATTGAGCATAAAATAAGGCTTTTTAATATTTAAAATAGTTTTTGGAATGGAAAGTATAAGAAATCATTTATTCATACCTTTGTATCCTGAAATATAGCTGAGTTCATATGGCTTCAATCAAACAACTGCCACCAGAATTCTCCTTCTATCACTTTCTCTCTTATGTATGTGTATCTAATGAAGTCACGTGTAACTAAAAAAAATTAAAATTGAACTTAGTAGAATCGACCAATAATTACTTTTATGTGTATTTAATTCAGAGATTAAAATACATCTCCACATCTCCTAAAATTCTATGTTTTTCATGAAAGTCAAGAAAGTCACCAAATAGCAGGAAAGCAATAATCAAACATACATTTTTGTTGTTGTTTTTAGTTTTTAATTTTTTTCTGTAGGGTGCATGTGCTTGCCTGAGAAGAGAGACATATAAGGTGAAGGAAAATGAGAAATCACCCTCGCCCCCCCAGGGTGATTTCCATATCACAATTCTTTCTCCACTCTCCTCTCAGGAATTTGAGCATGCATTAACATGTGCCTGGCATGATTCTCAAGCCACTAGGTCTGGGACTAGAACTGCTAAGTTGACCATGTGGGGATCCAGCCACCCTAACCTCTATGCCACCTGCTGGCCCCGATCTCTCTCTCTCTCTCTCTCTCTCTTCTATTTTTTTCTGTATAGAGTTATAGATTGCTAGATAAAGGCAAATAGAAAGATTCAGAGGTAATGAGATGAAAATGTCTTAGCTGTAGATACACTGCTTAGTGTAGATATACTACTATTAAAACATAGTGATAATGAAAACATATGCCTTTCTTTGTTGAGATGTATAGCAATTATTTCCAGCTATTTCTTTCACATGTTAGCTAATTAAACTAACCAAGAGCAAAACCTGTTCAGGATGATTTAAAAAACGAAACAATTTTAGGAAGTACTGATTATTTTCATTTTCATTCCACTTCAACTGCTACCAAAAGATATTTAGATAGTTGATTCTTCTATTTATTAATATGCTATAAACAGAACAGATATGAATTGGTTAAGTCTTTATAATTTTTAATTCCTAAAGACAAAATGAAAAATCCTTCCAGGTAGACACAGCAACACAAACACAAATCATGGCCTCCCTTAATCCAGTCATTTCTTTTTCTTTTTCTTTTTTTTTTTTTTTTTAAGAAGTTGTTGCTATAGGGTGCGTATGCTTCCCAGAAAGACAGAGAGAAACAGAGAGACAGAAAGCAAGAAATCACCCCCCCAGGGGAGATGGCCATGCCACAATCCCTTCTCCTCCATTCTTCTTTCGGGATCTTGGGCATGCATGCACATGCACCTAGCCTGAGTTTTAAGTCGCCAGGTCTGGGACTCGAACCATGGTCGACTACGTGGAAGTCCAAAGACATAGCCATTACGCCAACTGCTGATCCCAATCCAGTCATTTGAAATGACATAAATTCAAATAGTAGCAGAAACTTTCAGAGAACAGTATCTCTTCTTGCCAAAACACTAAATAGTTTTTGATTTTTGTTTTTCATTTTGCAAAAACAGAGAAAACATCTCTTTTGTCCTGCTTCCTACTATTACCTTTGATACAAACATTTTGATCACTTTGATACAGGTATTGGTACTACTACACCTATATTTATGACTTTCTTACATGAGAGGTCTCAAATATTATTTTATGCTTGCCTTTATGTTTGCATTTAAGCTATCCAAATATTCTGAAACCTATATTTTTCTATCTTAGCCAGAATCTTTTTAGAAGCAGATTTATCTATTTGTTCACTCTATTACTTTCCATTTTCCAACATAACTGCAAAAAGAAAGAAGAAATTTTAATTTAGGTTGCCCTAGAAGCAAACCCCAAGGTAATAATCCTAATACAAGAAGTTTATTTGTTGGTAGATCCCAGGAAACTCTAGTGGGGAGAAAAGTGAGACAAGGAATGGAAGCGCTCTTAGTAACAAAGAGAGTATCACCAGCCCTATTAACACTGTTGACAAGTGAAACTTATTCTGGCTAGGGGAAATCTGACATTCACTGTGCACACCTCTTATATTTCTCACATGAAGAATGACAGAGCTGTGATATTTATTCACCAACTTTCATTAGTCATTAGCTAAAGGGATGCTCCCAGGGGCATTAATTTCCTGGCTCTTCCAGCCTACTTTCATTGACAAAATGGTCTCTGGTGGCCCAAGAAACCACTTGGTAAAGAAACGTGGAAACTGGCATTGGAAAATCTGCCAATGTGAAATACAGCACTAAGGGAGAAGATCATCAACAGCATTTACCATACAAGGCAACAATATTAAAAACTGAATTAAATATAAGCAGGGTATATTTTAAGGCCCCTTATAGATATTTTATCATTTCAGTGAAAGAGAATGTTTGCCTCTATTCAGTGATACTATCAGTTATTAAAACACATAGTATTCAGTTACTATTTGGTGAATTTTAGTGTGTTCGAATGATATGGTTTATTTTATCTTTCCTCAAAATGTAAAAGCTGTATAATCACATATTTATAGCTTTAGAAAAGGTCTGTTCATCCTATTCATAGAACTCACAGAAAATTTCAAATCTGACACAAAGCTCCAAGATAACAGTGAAACTATGTCATGATTTCCATAGTGATTTACAATACCATGTTTTTCTTGTTGGTCTCAGGTGAGAGGATTGAAAAAGGTAGTTCTTCCTTAGAAAAATGATAATTTCTTTATCTTGTGACAAACATTGGTCTTACAAAGTGAATTAGAGAAAAATCATACAAGATAACATTAGTAACTGTTAACTGAACTATTAAATAGATTCTATTTCAAAATATTCTAACAAAGTAAATATTTTCTTTAAATGGTTAATTCAAATTAACATCCCTGTACCTTTTCTTTCTATCACAGATTGGCTGAGATACAGTCTTAGAGGAGATACTTTTCAAGCTAGATTATGCAATGTGATAGAATAAAAATATCTACATTAAAAAAAAGAAAGAAACTTGTGTCTACTTCTGACTACTTGTCTTTTTTCTTGCAGAAAAATGACATACTCTCTGAATTGGATCTATTCCATGTCTGATAAGACTAGATTTGTTCACAGAAAGAACATTTTGAATAATTTTGCAAAAATAAAAAAAAAAAGAAACTGGTTTATAAGCTGCTCTTTTAAAGGTATTTTATTTAAAAAAATCAACCCTGATTTCCAATTCAAATGGTTCTTAAAATTATAGAACATAATACATTCAGTTTGATACTAGTTTGCTACAGTTTACTACATTCTCATGCAGTTTCGAAATGTATACGAAATTGAATAAAGCCAAATATTCTTTTCTGAATACCTGCATTTTCCTCCTTAGTACTGGTTTAAGAAAAAATACTATTAACAATTCAATATGACTTGATAATTTAATTTGTTAATATAACTTTTATTTCTTTAAATATTCCATATAATCAAGCTAAACAAACAAGGTAGACTAAACAAAATATATTTTTACTTGCCATCAGATGTTACACATGCCACTATTATCATAATTTTAAAGTGTTTTCAAAATCATTTTTCTCTACTTCATACATGCAACTCTAATTAATACAGATTCTATTTTGTCTCCTCTCTGAGTCTGCACAACCATCTATTCATTGCAAGCAGTCATGGTTTTTCTAACAGGTAATCTGGCCGTTATCACCAGATGGGCAAAGTCCAAATGGCTTAGCATGCCTTTAAGATTATCTTCTCAAGTGTTTTCACAAACATGATGACCTGGGATGACTATATTAAATGACTTAGGCAACCATTTCTGCATTCTAGTCTTCTCACTGAGGTAGTGAGCATATATACAGCCATAACTATAGATATCCCTGTATTCACAGAAAAGTACAATTAAAGTACAATTACAATAGCAATTTAAGGGCCAGCAGGTAGCATGGTGATTAAAGACCTGGGTCCCAAGTAGTTCAAGTCCCAGAGCTGGCAAACTGAAAAACATGCTGGCCATGCATGCTTCCATGCTCAAAATCCTGAGGGGAGATTGAAGGAGAGAAGATGTGATGTGTTGTGTCCCCTGAGGTCATGCCCTGTGGGGACGATGTGATTTCTCACTTTTCCCCTTTCTGTCTCTCCCACGAGCACACATGGACTATGGCAATTTTTTTTAAAAGCAATCTAGTTAATTAAAACTATATTCACCTATTGAATGCCTGCCTTGGCCTGTGTCAATGCGAAAAGGACTATGTTAAGAGTTTGCTCAGGTACAGCAGAAACCTAGAAAGAATTTGGAAAAGCTGTCCTAAAAGAGATGGAAGCCATGAACTTTTGAATAGTTATGAAGCTGTCCAGGGGCCAGTGGGTGGCATGGTGATTAAGGCACTGATTTTCACATAGCTGAACACAGTTTGAGTCCCAGACCTGGCAACTTGAAAATCACACTGAGTGCATGTTTGTGCATGTGCAAAATCCCTATTGGAGAATGAAAGAGAAGGGATTGTGGCATGGCTATACACCCCGGGGCGGTGATTTCTAATTTTCACTCTCTTTGTTTCTGTCTTTCTCCAGTGAATACATGCACCCTATGTTGCAATCCAAAGAAAATAGAAGTTGGGAAAGTCCACAGTAGACAAAAGGAACATCATAGCACATGAATAAGAAAGCATGCCACATTCAAGGACAGACAAGTAGTGTGTATCATTTGAAAACAGAATGCTCCTAGAAGACTGATTTGCATAAAACCAGTAGTGAGGCCCGAATAAGAAGGCTCCTAAAGATCATCGTAAGAATTTTGGATTTTACCTTAAATGTGACAGGAGTATAAGATACATAGTTGGGAAAGAATGCTGCCAATGTGGTTCTGAAGAGACATGAAAGGAAAGGGGTGAGAAAAGCAGATCACATCTTTAAAAATGTGTGTATAGGGACCAGCAAGTGGCAGGTTGGTCAAGGTGCTGGACTCCAACATGGATGACCATGGTTCAAGTCCCAGATCCAGCTGCTTGAAACTCATGCTGGGCACACGTGTGTGCCCAAAATTCCAAGAGAATGAAGGAGAAGAGATTGCATGTGGCCATCCACCTTGGGCTCTGATTTTTCACTTTCCTTCTC